CGGAGGGCTGCTGCCCGGCCACCCCGAGCGGGCAGCGCCGCCGCCTCCCGCGGGCCCGGCCCTCACCGATGTCTATGGCGAAGCGCTTGGCGTTCTCCAGGTTGCGGAAGATCTCGTCGGGCGGCAGCGTGATGCTCTTGTCCAGGCTGCCGTGCCCGCTGCCGCCGCCGCGCCCGCCCCGCGCCGCCATTTTGAACGCGCCCCGCTCCTGCCCTGCCTCATCGGTATGCAAATATATGCGCATATATTTACATGTTAATGTAGGGTGCACACATTATGCTAAGGAGCTGCGCTGCGAGTCCCCGGCCCTGGGGGGCGCCCCTGGCGCGTGGCGGGGGGGGCTGTGCTGCCTTGCCGGGAAAAAGCCAGCCCCTGGCCACAGCTAGCCCATCCCTTTGCACTGCCCCTTGCTCCTGTCCTCGGCTGGTGGCTCTGCGCTGCTGCTGCTGGCCTGCACGTGTGCCATCGCCCTGTGCCCAGCGCCCTCTTTCAGCGCCTCAGGAAGGGCAGGAGAAGGACGAGGAACGCGGAAGCCATCGTGCCCCCTCTCCCGAGGCCGCGGAGGCACCCAGGCCTGAGGGGTTGCGCCTGCCTGGGCTCCTGGTGGCGGGGCACGTGCCCCTGTGGGCCCACGTTTGTTCTGCCCTGTGCGCACCTTTGTGTGGCTACCTGAGGGAGCCCCGCACAGGCAGTGTGAAACCCACATGCCCACTTTGGGGATCGGCGTCGAGCATCTCACATAGGGTGGCCATTTGTCTGGTTTTATCAAGGACAGTCTGGTTTTATGATCCTGCGTCCTCTATTGATATGAAGCTGGACGCCTTTATGTCCTCGATTTTTCACCACTTGGCACCCCCCTCGCAGCTGTCTGCGGGAGCTCCCCGCTGGCCGCCACGCCACCGACACGGCCGGCTGCAGGAGCTCGCCGTGCCCCCCCAGCCTCGGGAGGCACACGGCATTCACGGTGGTGGGGGACAGATGCATGAAATGCAGTTATCCTCTACTGAGGTACCTCGATGGCCACCCTCATCTCGCACGCCCTTGGTCCGCGCCGTAGCTGGTGTTGGCTACCTGTCCTGCAGGAGCCTGGCTTTGCATGCACTCACGGTGCTTCGGTTGGGCCACACGGTGGCAGGGCTGCTCATGTCTAATCTGCGCTGGATCTCACCTCAAAGGAAAAAGTGACTCAAAACCGGAGCCTTGATTCAAAGTGAGATACAGAGGTTACTCAGAGCCACACCGCTGCTCTCCCTGCCTTAACCCAGTAAAAGGACAGTCAGGAGGAGGGAAAGCCATAGGGCTCAATGTGAGGTAGGAAGCTTGGTGGCTGCCCCAGCAAAACTGAGGGATAGGCAGGATGCGGCAACACACGAGGAAATACGTTGCAGGAGACAGCCGTGCCCTCGGGCAGCTTGGGCAAGTCCTGACAGCTGGCTCTTTGTTCTGTGACTCTGGGGCAGATTCATTTCCTCATTGCAAGTACTGGTTTCTTAAGTTGTTGTTCTTTGTGTATATGATCCTTTAATCCTGTGAGATACAGGGAGGCTGGTAAGGAATGGAGGAAGATACAGATTTAATTGCAATGAGAGAGATTTAAGAGACGGAAGCAAATTTAGAGTGTTTTTATGACCGAAGCAATAAATATTAATAATATAATAATATAATTAATAATGTAACGAATCCATAGATCATTAGATCTTCAAGCACCTCAAGCAGGAGGTTGGTATCATTCCCATTTTACAGATGGGGACACTGAGACACAGAGAGGTGAAGTGATAAATACGATCACCAGTGTCAGGTCTGGCAATAACACCTGAGTCTCCTGTGGGCCAGTGCAATACTTTTTAACGCGCTGCCTTCTGACATAGATTTTCATTTTTTTGTCCCCAAATCTCCCTTCTCTGGGCCCTAATACTTCTGTCATTGGCCTCGGTGACCAAAGTGCTGTCGATTTTAGTGGCATGGACATAAGCCCTGTGCATTTTGGCTTTTCCCCACCAGGATGACATGAACAATTACACACATTTTCCATTTTGTATAGGAAGAAAATGTGAGTATCTGAAGTTTTTTACAACAACAGCCTTTGTCTCACACCTGTATAATAAATGACAGCAAGGGAACATAGCACAAATTCCTTTAGTAGCACTTTTTTCACATGGGAGATGGTTTTCCCTAATTCAGAATGCCTCTAAAACAATGGTCCTGCTTTTGACAGGTCTCACAGGTAAACTTTCTTAATCTGAGTGTGGAACTGAGACTCTCTGCTTTGACACTCCTGGTCTCTGTAACCTTTGCCAGATAACTTGGGTCTATATTTTCAAATGGGCATTGCTTTTGGAGAGCTCCAGACCTAGTATCGGTAAAGTGAGGATAGTAAGACAGGAGGGTTAGAAGGTGCTTGTGTAATTATTTGTTAAAGAGATGTATCTGGTGTGTGACTAACTAGTTGCAAAAGGGTCAGTGGCAAACATTTGGGGCTGTGAATCTGTTAAAAGAGCAGGAGAGCAATGAGAAAACTGTTGCAACAGAGTTCCTGCCCCATGTCTGTGTACAGTCTTAGTACCAGGGCCACCAGCCTTGTGTCCAATATTTTTGCCTTGTTAAACCCAAAAAGTGGATGTCAGCCAGCACATTCAACAACCCCACTCTCACCCTCAACCCTCCTTCCTCCCTTCCCTTCCCCACCCCCCTGCCCTTCATTACTGAAAACCTCTAATTACAGCAGGTGAATTTACAGAGAAGGTTGAGTAGTAGATAGCTTGAGGCTGATCCTGGCACATCTCATTCCCTTTGCCTACTCCCTTCTGCTTTCCACAGCCAAGGAGGGCTGATTGAGGTTCTTTCTGGATCTTTGTCAGTGCCACAATCTGCTTTAACCCCTAGTACTTGCTTAATTTCTATGCAAACCTGGACTGCTCCACAGCTGAACTCTGATTCTTCTGTATCTATTATGCCTCCAGATACATTTGTAGTACAGTGAGTAGCTTGAGTGTGTCACAGCTGTGAGTGCAGTGTGGACACCTCTTCGACACAGCAGTTCTTTAAATCACAGGATCCTGCAAATCATTTTACAAGAGAGGCCCCAGCTGGCAATTTCACAAAGAAAAGAACAACTCACTGGATACAGATTCAGTAACCAGATTTTATTTTCACTCAGAGCCAAAATTTTTGTGACTTTTGAAATGCAAAATAATGCAAAACAGATTACAGAGTCAGTGCATCTTAAATGAACATATCACTCCAAGGATGGTAGCAAATCAGCAGTTTCCCCCAAGCACGAGGGTACCAAAAGCACAAACAGAATTTGTACAGTCACCTTTTCATGAAAGGCTTTGCTAAGCATTTCCTGTAAATTCGACAACACATGCCGTAACTTTCCTTTCCTATAAGGGTACAAGTGAGCTATTGCCTTTACAAAAGGCATTGCACATACTAAACCTAGCAAATTGTGCTCTACTCCGAGAGCCATACATCCTGAAGAATTTCCTCTACAGAACTGGGGTTGCTTTTCATAGTACGCTTAGCGCACCCTACAAATATTGTAGAACTTGTTACGGCAACCAGGTGAAAGCCACATTTTCAAAGGTGTCCCCCAATTCAGCTACCCAACTTGGGATTTTCAGCTGTGGCTGGAGTCAAGCAGGGGTATCTCAGGAGTCTTGAAACGTGTGGCTGAGATGGAGGTGCTCCCGCTGAGCAGACACCTTTGAAAATGTGAGCCTATACTTCTTAGAAGTTACTTAGTTTTAACCCAGCATGCGCATGCACCACCTCAGCGTGGTCGCACACCAGGAAACGTTCCTCTCTGAGCAACTCTTTTCAGTCGTCCTCCCATGAGGACTACAGGGCACATTCTTTTAGAATAACTCTCCAAGTAGTGGGAGCTTTTAGGTCCTTCTGGGAGAAGGGAAACTGATGTCCAAGCATCATCATGCTCTGTAAAAGGAAAGTGCTCTTCCCTACTCATTAGAGGAGTGCACATACTTGCACAGCAAGTTGCAGGCTCCTCTGGAATACAAGCACATGTCCAGAAATAAAACAGAAGTCCATCTCATCTACCAGGGCCTCCAAAGGCTGCTGGAGGGCTTCAGCACTGCCTGTTTTGCAGGAGCTTGGTGGGAGAAACAGGAGGCTGCAGAAGAATTTGAGTCTTTGGCAGCCACTTGAGATCTCTGGAAGTGGCACAACAGTTTTGTCTGAGTTTCCATGTTGGCTGAATGGAGAGACAGGAACTGAAGAGCCTCTTTGAGGCACCAGGAATACCCTTCACTGTAATCCCGCTGCAGATGCTGAGATGAGGGGAAAGCTGGAATAAGAGGAAAGACAGAGTTTTAGACAGGTCTGGCCCAACCTCCAGCCTAGGCATAAATAAAACTAGCAGACAGGAGCAGTTTGAAAACAGAGGGAGATGCACTCACTTTGGCTGTATTTCAGGTAGCTGACAGTCATCTCCAGGATGTCGGCTTTCTCCAGCTTGGAGTTGGGCTGGTGTCTCTGGAACTCCTTCTCCAGCAGGACTTTCAGCTGCTCGATGCTGCTGTTAATGCGATCCCGGCGCAGCTTCTCCACCATTGGTTTTCTCAGCTGTAACACGAGAAGGCAGAGAGAGAATTAGCCACCACCTTTCCTTTCTCATCTGCTCCAGCTAGGAGGCTTTGTTTTGAGCAGCCACTCTCAGACACGTGGTCACATACTTACTCTGTTTTTCTCTTTGGGTGTTAGGATTTCCAGTGCAAGAGTGTTAGGGGCCATTATCCCAGGAGTACAGGTGCCGACTTCACCTCAGATCTTGCTGTTCAGCAAGTGATACAGGGAGCTGGAAAGTGCCTGTATTTATACCCCAGAGCTGCATACAGATGCCTGGGGCCTAAGCTTCTTTGAGTTTCCCACACTCGCTAGCCAATCCATGCGTTTAGCAGGACAATAGATAGAGCATCTATTACAGCATGGTAAATTGACTGTGAATTGCCTGGGGATAATACCCTGCTCCCAGCGGAGCAGGTGGACTGGGGAGTGTGTTACACAATAGAAGCTAGGCTAGAAAGGCTGGGGAGGAACGTGGGAAAGCGTTCGCCATCATTATGTTCACCATCATTATAATCAAACTTGTGCCTGATGTTGGGACCATCAACGTCTCAATATGCTGCCTTTTCCCAGGCTGTGGTGACATTAAGGACAGAAGACAGCTCCCAGGAAGAGAGAACAGCCGCTCCCCTTG